GGACAAATCGACGGCTATTTAATTCTTTTTTTAACGTTCTACGCGTATAGTAATATTCCATTATCGTTAATAAATATTAATAGCAATAGTAATGATGAAACGGGATCGAAAATATTACAATAACATAATTTAGTAGTACGGTTTTATTAGTAGTAGATATTGTATTATAATGGTATAATTTGGTAGAACGTGCGTACACTGTAGCGTACGTAATCGTCTTGCACGAGTTGCAAAGCGGTAAACGCGCCGATGTGCGCGTTCTAACATTTGATCTCTCCTCTAAAACCGATTATTAAATAACTTATAAGAATATTTTTGTTGTTCTATGCGCGAGGCACTGCGCTTACAAATCTAATATTCCGTCAGAAAACGTAATAATAATGCATGCATTCTGCACACTCCTGCGCATGTGGACCCGTTTCGCAGCCACCCATGTATGCGGGTATTTTAAGTACACAACGTTTACTAACGTTATGCAGTTACTCGTAAACACACCGAACTCACAACACGTACACAAGAATGTATAATATTATATCTATTTTCTTCTTGTTGCACGCACACGCACACGCACGGATATGTATGTGTTATTTCCACCATAGACATGGAACCACGTTAAGTTTTCAAAGTTATCGTGTTCTGTATTACAATAATAATAATAATGCGTTTATAATGTCCGTGTGATTCGTTGAGTTCGAGATTGCGTTTAGTCGTGTTTTTTTTTTACTGTTTATGCAAAACGAGCGAACGGAATGATTGCCATACGCGCGAGTACGATGAAAATGGAAAAATAATGACATTTTATAGCTCAGCCGTAGTAGTACGACGACGGCCACCGTGACGCGTGACGCGTGACGATTACAAAACGTGAACAATATATTTTATTGCACGCTGCACCTATACCGCGATTTATTAGTAAACAATACGAGTGCTTAAATGTGATACATAGTGTGTGCAATATAATTGTATCTAAAGTCGTAGCAAATGTCTGCAGCCGCGATCAAAATGCGTGGGCACGGATTTTTTTAGTCTATAATCCGATCGTTAATTAGATCGCACACGTTTATTACAGCGGTTCTACGCGCGTACGGAACCCTATCCGAAGAGAAACGGTTTTGCTCGAACTTACGATTGCGCAGATTGCCCATATTACACAAATATTATTATACATACTCCAAGCACATGTATGATGTACATTATATGTTATAGTATACATAGTAGATGCGCGTATATGTATGTATACGAGTGTATACCGTACGCTGGTGCTAGTTTTATTCCTTATAATTTTTTTTCCTTCTTCTTACCGTCTCCCCTCGAGTACACATAAATATACGCATAGTGTTTTACATTATGCATACGTTGTAAATCAGGTTTGCAATAATCTGGTTCACGTTCAGTCGGAAAATAATTACTCGGATACCTTATCGTACGTCGGCGGGGCGTACCACTGCGATTTATACAATAGCCGCCACACATCTTCACTCTGACGGTTTTTTAATTTTTATTTTATTTCATCGAACACTAATCTATATACATACATATACATATATATATACAATGCTTGAGTTTAAATGCAATTGTGAAGGTCGCTGAAGCCGCTCGCACCACGTGTCTTTACTCAAGAATAATATATACATTTTTTTCCCAACTTAAAATCTCGACGTGGGCGTAATTGTTGGCCATAATTTACCGCGGTGACAATGAGTGTCGTGCGCTGCTCTTCGTCCACTCCGATTCACTTGTACAATAAAAGTATAGTAAATTGTATATATATATATATATATATATATATATATATATATATATATATATATACTTATGGCAAATGCAAATGAACTGCCGCGTGAAAAACATTTGCTTCCGGCTCGAAAAAAAAATGCGAACGATTCATTAAAAATCAATTGATTACATTATTGTATCGATAATGATATGAGATCGTCAAATTTGCAAGAAAAATATTACTGCGATCAGTCTTTGCTAAATGGGTATCGTGTTGTGGGGGTATACATGTATACGTTTTCATACTATGTACAATGCGTATTGCGATGGAAGGCGAATAAATAGCTGGCCGTAACTAATACGCGAGGGGGACGCCGAACCCGAGCCTACGTACAAATCTTGATCCCCTCCAGACGCAGCTTTGTGCGTCTGCAAATGTTTTGATGAATACCTCTCTCTACGTTATAATAACTAACGCTGATTTAATATTTAAATGGGTTATTTATTTTTACATTACTTTAAAACTTCATATGCAACATTATACCATTAACATGAATGTAGTGTAATAAAATGAAATCAAGTACGCGCATATAATTATTGTATGGTATTAAAATGTTGACACCAAAGATTAAAATATTGTTTCTAGTTTAATAAACAGCTATACAAACGATTTAAAAAAAAATTCATGAGAGGATATTATAATCAATATTACTTGTACATAATAATCTATAAAGCATTTTTGGTAACTCATTAATATAGTTTAATTATTTTTGGTATCGGTTTAACTTTAATACATTTCGTAATTATTTTTCCCTATCATTGTTTGTCGGACATTATATATATTTCAATTTTCATTCTATGTAAATTATAGTTACATTTAAAAATGGACAAGATATACATGTATTATAAATTCACCTATTTAAATAAATACATTTAACCATTGCTTGTAATTTTTAACGACATAACACTGAATTTTGAAATAATTAAAATTTCCATATTATAAAATATTTTCAATGCACTAGACCGCAGGTTATAGCCTCAGTTTATATATATATATATATATTCTTAATCGTACGATTTATCATATTATTCTTTACTTGTACTTACTGTTACTTATTGTGTGATTTAATTTTAATAAATATTTGTTGATTCATCAAATCCATTATTTCGCAGTTTATAAAATATTATTCTCTATAAGAATATTACTACATAAAATCATTTTTGTCATAGACTCCCCTTATTAGATTTTGATATATAATTAAATAAATATAAATTACCGTTCTTATGGAAAAATCGTAAATTGTGAGAAATTACTGTTTCTTGATATTTTATTATGATCATTATCCCATTATTGAATTTAATGTTATTCGTAAAAAACAATGATTGGTGACTAACGACCGTATCGTATTTTTCCAATTTTTTAAAAACAGTAAATTACCAAATTTTAAGTATTTTAAAATAACTTCTGAGTATTAGAAAAAAAATACATGTTATTTTTAAATATATACTATCTAATATACTAATACGAGAAATATATACATGTATATGTCTATCCTGCATATTAGATAAATAAACGAATTTACTGTAGTAGATACTGGATTCATTTTTTAGGTATGCTTTTTAAAATCTTATTAGCACGTTGACTGCCACGAACTCATCGGTGGTATCATTAGGAAGTCTTTATCTCCGTTAAATAGTTCTGTATTATAATTTTTTTGTACATTATGTTCTATATTTTTATTTGTTTTTAATAATTTGTCGACAATTGTTTTATTATATCGAATCTGAAAAAAAATAGCAAACCAAAATATACTCGTATTCAGTGTTTTACTCCGTTTAATTTTTCGATGTTTTGTACTCCCATTGTCAGTTTTATACATAACCACGCGAGATATTAAGTTTTTGAAAACAAATTACTGATCGTCAAATTGCAAGTAAACCTCACCTAAAAGCTACTATTTATGACACTTTATCCAGTATAAATCTAACTATCAACATCGGTGTGAGAATTCCTAATGTTTATGCGCAGCCAATGAAAATGGTACTTGCATTGCGAGCACATCATCAACCATGGTTATGTACACGTGTTGTTCTTCGCAATGATGAGTTTTTCGAGGGTTACTACATCGATGATTTTTTTTCGTCTGTAAAACAATCTTAAACGATATTCCAACAGTCCGACACTTACATGAGCATGTTTTCGTAAAGCCGTGTCGCGGATTGTATGTTGCTGCCGCCATCGTCGAGGCAACGCATCTGGTATAATTAATGGACGACCAACCGTCTTCTTCTTCTTCATTTGTCTCGTTTTGACAACGACTATTGCACAAACGACTTAAGACATTATTATGTCTATTTTATTTTTATGAAGGACCACTACTGTTATGAACGTGGGCGTAAGTATAGATGCGTTTGTGTGTATGTGTAAGTGTAGGCATAGAAGAGGAGGATGAACTTTATACAGTATTTCCATCATATTTGAGTGTGCGAGACTTTTGTCCTCTTCGATGCAGAGTACGTTTGAATCTGGCGCCGCTGCCGCCGTAATGGCATGTAATACAAATACTGAAAAAACAATAATATTGTTGTACATTTGTACGGAGGCGTTAAATGAAAAAAATTAAAATAATATTTATAATATTATTTTAACTTTACTATAGTACATATTTATCATGCACAGATGAGTTGACGTTACGCAGTTGTGCGTACATTTTAGTGGTTCGTATAGAACACAAAATACGAAAAAAATAATTAAACTACGACGATCGCGTGCTAGAATCATGCGAGGCGAAAATACACGTTTAAATAATTCAAAGTAACATTACTAAATAAAACGGTCTTTGAAATTCTACTTCTAAGAATAATTAAACTTGATTGATTAAGTCTTATTTCAAATAGGTGTATTATATATTTAAAACTATAAAAAAAAAAATGCGCCTGCTTTTATACGGAAATGTTTGTAAGAAAAACAAAAATATAAAGCGATTTATTATCTTTTCAAACTTTTGAAGTATTTAAAAATAATTAAAACCACGTTTAACTTTTAGTTTAATCACCATTTTTATAATCTCTACAGCAAACCGCCATCTGTAAAATGACTATATATAAAAATCGTTGTCGTTGTATCACGTGATGTTACCTTTTAATATAATATTATTAGTATAATATTTTATGTTCACCTAAAAACTACGAATGTATACGATACAATTCCAAATGTTTTACCATACTCGCGGTCTTAATATTTTCGGCTGAGCTATAACGTTTTTCTCGTTTATGTTGCACAGACATCGATCGGGAGAGTAACGCGGCTTCGGTCGGACCGGCGGACCTGACGTTCGGCTGCGAACTGAATCGTCCGTCAGTGGTGACGGCCATGAAGTCGTCGTGCAGCGTGGCGGCCACGGAATACGGCAGAACGGACTCGGAAACGGACTCGGAGGGTTCGAGACACATGATGGCGGCTCCGGCTAGAAGATCGAGTTCGGGCAGAACGGACGAGGTGTGCAACCGAAGCGTGCGCGACAAGATAGCAATGTTCTCGCGGGCTACCGCGGCCGGCAGCAGCGGTGAGAAAAAGGACCCGTCACCGTCGTTGTTGTCCACCTCTTCGGCGTACTCTACGGGATCGCCGGACTCGTCGCCAGCCACATCACCGAAGGCTGCGTACAGCACGCTGTCGCGCAAGCCCGAAACCCAGTGGCCGGTGGCGCACCGGTACCCGGAGGCCGCGCCGCTGTCGCCGCTGGGCGCGGTCGCGGACCACAGGCGCTCGCAGAGCCTAGTCGAGCAGCCATACAGCAAGTACTTCAACACGATGAACGCGTACGCGGAGATGGGACGATCGTCGTTGAACGCGCTCATCGAGCAACGTCGGCGCAGCATGTCCAAACTCCGCGGACTGGTCATCCCGGAGAAGGTGCCCGATGACACCGGGGCTGCGAGTGGCGCGCATGGCGACGTCGCCGACGACCGCCCACTACTACATCGGGCCGTCATCCCCGACCTGCCGTTGGTGGTCAAAAGCTCGAGGCCGCGTGACCACAGCGACCGCGACGACAACGAACGCGTGGACGGTGGTCGCGACGAAGCGGCCGTACTGTGTCCGCCGACCAAGACTTACGTTAATGGGCCACCGCCGGTGATGGGCACGGTGACTAGGTACGCGAATCCCGTAAAAACGGTTGCGCGACAGCCACTGATAGTCGTGCCGGCAGTCCCGGCGCTCCGGGAACAGCGACACCCTTCGCCTCCGGAACAGCGGCGTCCGTCATCCGCTTCTTCTTCGCCATCGTCCTCGTCCTCGTCGTCGTCGTCATCGTCGTCGTCATTGAACTCGAGCCGCGAGGAGCTCAGGCACATACACGACGAACGGCCGCCGTCCTCGGTTAAGTCCAAGACTTCGTTCAAAACGGATAGCGACGAAGACTCTGCGCTCAGCTCGAGCCGGTCGAGCACGTCGCTTCAGCAGTATTCGCCAGCCTCGTCCCCGCCGCCGACGGCGACCACTCAGCCACCACTACCGCCCTTGCCGTCCTCGTCACCGCCGCCGCTGGTAGCGAGCACGTCCAACGTCGAGCCGGGCAGACGGGTGCTGAAGGCCGAGAGCGTGGAGGCCATCAATCGAAAGAACGTACTGTGCTCGGCCCGGATCAGCAGCGGCAAACCGGAATTGCTTCAACAGCAGCAACAGTACCCGACGACCGGTAACCATCACGTCAAGACTGAGTACCACCATCACCACCAACACTTGGACGGCGTTGGTTTGTCACTCAAGGCCGCCGCGAAGACCGTGTTCGCGACCGGGGCCTTCAACAACCCGACCGGCGGCGGTGGTAACCGTTACACGCACAACCGCATGTCGTCCATGGAGTCAACGACCAGCGATGATTCTTCCATGCAGTACACGGTCAACGCCGAGCCGTTCGGCAGCATCAGCTCATTGGCCTCGTCCACCAGCCTGATATCGCAACAGGAACTCCAGCAGCTCATCGACGATGCGAACCAGACGCTCGAGGACAACACCATCGGCAGTACCGGTACCAGTATCACTGCGATCCCGCCGGCTGTCCCACTATCCTTCGAGGTGATGGTCGTTATACTGCACCGAGACATGGCCACCAGCAGCGTGGGCATCACGTTGGCCGGCGGTGCCGATTACGAGACGAAAGAGATAACGGTAAGTGCGTTACATCGTAATCCGGCGGTGTGGACGAACCGTCAGAAATTTTTACATACCCATCCCACCTCGAAAGAGCCGGGATTAATGCGGTTAGGCTCTGAGCTAACCCGTCTTTGGAGGCTCGAATGTTATAAGTAAATAATAAAATAAATTCTTATGCGTAAATGCCTAATGATATGTTGTTGCTACGAACTAACGACAGAGATGGGCTTAGAAGTAGCTGGATAGACCTCGGTGACTTGCATTGGGCATTAGCCTTTTAGAATCGTATTGCGGCTCGGTAACGGTCATCCTCGAACGCTTCGGCGTCATCGGCCCATGAATTCTCTGCGTCTCATAAATAGCTCCTAGAGTCAATATACTGCACGCTGTCCCAGGCAATCCCTGATGCAACTTGATGTAGTAAGATGACATCGCTGATGTGATTTGTAAAAATATAAAACATTAGTAATTGCAGCCGATACGATTATCATTGTTCTCCCGGAACAAGCAATCAGATGACTTATGGTGAAAAAACTCGCCATTGTAATGCGTAATATTATTTACGTACTACGGATAACAGATTAGCTGATATTTTGTGTCATAAGTGACGCATTTTTTTTTGTCCATACAATCAGTAAATTTTCATTTGCTAATTTTTTCCATATATTTGAATAAAATAGGCAACATTATTGCGATTAAGTTAACGCGTGAAAAACAGAACCTATATGTATTAGATTCTAATATCACAATAATGTTGCCTATTTTATTTCGAATATATGGAAAAATTAAAAATTAAATCTAATAATTAAACTGTCATAATTACGTTACATAGTTACGTTTTAGTAAACAATTTATTAAGTACTACTTCAAATTACGAAGCAAAATAACCGGAGATCGAACCTTCAGTTTTAAATTATGTGGTGGCTTGCCTGATAAATCCAATGAGTTTAAAAACTCTGTTGGATAATTTACAGCTTCAGTAGCATCGCAAACTGTATCAATAGATTTGTATGACACTAAATCTCCTTGTAACAAATGTTGTATCTTGAGATTCAATTCGTTGTCATCCACATTTTTTGCTGCTAAAATTGCTCTTTCTGCCAGCCACTCATGATTTGTGTATTGTCTGTGTACATTAGGAAATATCTGGTCAATGAGAGCATTTTGTGAATCAATGATTGTGCAGAAATCAGTCAGTAATTTTATACATCCCGTTTCATCTGTCGTGACTTTCCCATCATCGATATCTAAGAATTCTTTTGAGAATCTTCCACACGCAGCTTTTTTTGATTGAATCGCAAATATCGAAATCGTGCGATGTGTATAATAATTCTTCGAATTAATATTTTTGTTTATTTTTTGCGCTTGTTGCGGTATCTTGTTGTTTAATATTTATGCAACATCCGTGATTTAATACCAAAAATAAAATTAATATTTTTTAAATAGTTTTTAATAGTTTTTTAATAGTTTCATTTAATAATTCATTTTCAATTATACAGTTATCGACCGGGTCAAAAATTATTAAATTAAACTACAATTTATTAAACAATAGCATTTTTCCAACAATTTTTTTCATAAAAATTTTCTCCTGGAAATTACGAACAATTAAAAGAAATTTGAGCTTAATCGGCCCAGCTCTTCTCAATTGATGAAATGTTATACATTTTTGGCTAATAACATTTTATTTTACTTTTTTCGATCATTTTAAATCATTCTATAGAGTTTATTCCTTTGAAAATGTTGTCGTTTCAACTTTCTATTTTCATTAATTTCATGATTAATGGTTTTTAAATTTTTTTTTTTTTAGTTTACAGGAAAATAGTGTATACTAGTCAGAAGACAAGATAAGATAATACCAGAATTATATAAATACACTTATATTTTTGTGAATCAAAGAAATAAATATTAAAAATGAAAAGGTTAATGAAAATAAAAATTTCAAACGTCAACATTTTCAGATGATCAAACTATAAAAAAGAGTTACTTTAAATTTTTTCGAAAAAAAAAAGAGTAAAAAATAGTTTTATCAAAGTGTTTAAAAATACAAAATATGAACCCTTATAGTTCTTATTCCATTTGTCGTAAAAAAGAATCCTAGTTTTTCTCAAAATCTAAAACAGAATTTAATTTTTTTCATTGCTTCAGATGTCTTCATGGAACACCGCTTGTGTGTAGTTAAAATATAATATACTTGTTTCTCATTGCCTTACCGATGATGATCATCGAGTTTCCATGTTATGTCAATAACCCCTGACGGTTGCCCAAACCGACTATTATTTCGAAATTTTATGTCGGGAAACATTATTTCAGCTTGACGGATTTTTTTTTCTTCTTCCGTGACTTCGGCCTTCAAAAACATGTCATCCAACAAATTTGCTTCCAAGTTTCTCTATCTAAAACTAACTCCTTCCAATCCATTCCTGGTCTCACCTTCTCTATGTCCTCATTGATCCTATCTTCCCAGCGTAACCTCTGCCTTTCAAGTTGTCGTTTTTCTTGTGGTAAATTCTCTTGTACTATTTTAATCAATTACCCTATTTTTCTCCAATAATGAGCTGCCCATTTCAGTCTTCTTTTAGTGATATCATCTTTAATGTTTGATCTTTGATATAAATCCTGAAGTTTCTTGTTTTTACGTAATCTCCATTCACCTGTAGGTTCGTCTATACATGGTCCATACATTTTCCTCAAGGTCCAAGTTTCCGAACCATATGTCACCACTGGCTTGATAAGTGTCTGGTATATTTGGGACTGCAGATTTTTTAAGATTACTCTAGATCTTAATAACTTTGTCAGGCCAAAATAACATTTATAGGCAGCTTGTATTCTAGCTTTTATTTCCGTGCCTATTATTATTATTTTATTATTATTTTATTTCCGTGCCAAGGTATTTGAACTGCTGCACTCTTTTGAATTTGTAGTTTTCGACTTCTAGGACCTCGTTACGACAGCCTGTTTGTTTATGTCTTTACACTACCATATATTCAGTTTTCTCAGAGTTAATCTCTAGGTCTACACGTTTAGCAGCATCTATGAGTTTTTTTTATTATTTGAGTTTATCTTTGCTTTCTGCCATCAAGACAATATCGTCTGCATATGCTAATATTCCAATGTTATTTTCTCCTAGTTTTACTCCTTCCTTATCTAGAGTTGCTTTTCTAACTACTTTTTCTAATACTATGTTAAATAAACATATTTTAATATTTTAAAAAAATTATTTTAATAATAAACATTTTTATTTTTTTATTGCTATTAAAAAGTTAAATTATAAAAGCCGTAACCGCTCATCAAAATTTTGTCCACTCTATCAAACCGTAGATAATTTTTTATAATTTACCTACAAGATATGTCAAAGTACAGGTTTGTGTCACGATCGCTTCCTGTTTGAAATACTCGCGTATAGCTCGTGTACCGTTTAAGAATGTTGAACTTCGATTGGTGTCCACAGGTGTATAAAGTGTTGACCGGAAGCCCGGCGGACAAAGACGGCCGTATCCGGAAAGGCGATCGCATATTGTCGATAAATGGCAAGAGCATGAAAGGGATCACGCATCGGGAATCGTTGGCAATACTCAAGGTAAGTATTCAACCCGAAACCAATCACCAACGAACGTTAATATTTATTGGTCGGGTGTGGTCTTTTTTTTTTTTTTGTTATAGGCCCCTAGATCTGAAGTAGTGCTGGTGATATCTAGATGCAAATCGGACACAACCGTCGAATCTGTTGGACCGCCTCTGTCTGTCAACCAAGTGACTTCGGCCAAAAATGGTAATAATAAAAGCGATGTTTAGCGATAATCACTCGACGTCTTTTGCAAAAATAAACCAACGAATAAGTGTTTTTATTGCGTTCACAGTGAACAATAATATAAAATAATTGGGCGTTTAAGTCTCCAAAAAGTGTATAAATTCCGTAAGGAGTTTTACAAAGATTTAATTTTAATCTACTCTTTAATATGCAATACAAGTTAAATTGAACGTTTCGTTCTGATAATTTATAATCTTTAATATTACATTATAATGTGTAGCCCATTTTCACTCCCAATTTTTCACATTAAACTGTTCAAATGCCATATGTATAATCATGTACTTTTTGCATGAGCACTCTTATCACTATCAATGCGAGCAGGTACGTCTGCAGAAGCCTGTCTAAACATGACATTTACAGAGACGACTATCATATATTACTTGAACACACCAAGATCACAAATATTTATCAAAAATTAAAGCCGAGTAACAAACGAAATCCTTACAATACAGTTTATCATCTTGATCAATGGTGTGCCTTAAATAGGAATCCTTTGGTGTCGGCAGCCTCATTCTTTTGTGGTTAAAGTACTATTTCACATTAAAAAAACGATACGATTCTGTAAACATCAGGGCCGCCGCCTGAATGAAGACAACAGGACCATTTTGCCTCAGGTCCTAGTCAATGAACATTCAAAGGGGGCCCCCTTAAAGTCCAGATTGATTAGAAATACTAGGCGTTACCCATTAAAGATTATTGATTTTAATATATTATTTCTAAACTATTTTTCTTTATGAAATATTAATAAATTTAATTAAATAAAATTCACTTAAATTTATATTTAAGCGCTATTATACAAGCTGTATTTTCAATTATTTTAATCTCTAAATTGTTATAATTGTAATTTATTATGGTTATTGCCGGAGTGTGAAAATGATATAATTTTATACACATTTACGTAGTTATTCGTTATTGCAGGTGTAGACACGACAACATCCAAGTTCTTATTTTCTATGACTGTTTATAAATTATCTAGGAATAAATTTTATTTTTATTTAATGTTGCAACTGGTAATGCATTTCTGAGAAGTTATTAAAAATGTAATTAATTGTATCGATGCATTTAAATAGTTTGATTGGTTGAGGTTTGGAAAATTATATTTACCAACATTTTTTGAACTTGGTGTATATTTTTTTTATCATACTCGTATATCATTATGATTGTAAGGGTCCCTTGAATTTGCCCTAAACTCCAAGAATCCTTAGAATGGCTCTGATAAACATTACAATTTTCGAATACTCTACTAGTGCCGTCTAAGGTGTGATGAATTAATGTATTTTTTTGTCATTGCTTTACTGATATGAACATTTTACTCGAGTCAACTTTCCTACCAACTGCCTTTTCCAATTGATAGATTTTCATTTTTCCTGGGATTCGATTCAACGTTTTGACCTCGTTCTCAACATCGAAAAGTACCACATTGTATGCTTTTCCAGGAACTTTGATTCCTTTTTATATACTTCTGTTATTCCTAAGTTCTCTACGTGAAAATGTTTATGTTATATCTGACTCAAGTATTTATTTTATCATGTCTCTGATATTCACCGAACATAAATTGGCAGATTCCCCGAGATCCTATAGGGTTCATCAAATATAACATTTTAATTTTTACTTCTGCTTCCTGTCTATACACTTTTTACTTTGATAAGTACAATCCGAGCATTTTTAATATACAAAGTTATGTATACATATTATGTGTAATCGATATTTTATCTGATGTCCTTACTAGGAAACTTACATACCTTTCTATCTAATTTCTTACTCGCACAGTGATTCATTACACCCAAGGCTCATAATAATAATAATATAATAATAAAAAAGAATAAATATTATTAATTTTTAATTACATAGGTAATGAAAGAAATAGTCATCCATTAATATTTTCGTATGTAACATTTCAATAAAAATAAAACCCATGTATCCATTACTTATTATTTACGACGAATCATTTCCGATTAAAATATATGATAACGATCCAAGTGGTGTGAACAATTTCTAGGCATTAGCAACAGTATAACTTAATAATAGTAACTACGTTCACGAGATTAGTTGTGATACATATTCTACCTATAGGATGTAAAAAATATAAAGACCAATATGTTATAGACATAAAACCAAAATATATCGCTCTCGACATAACATTTATTTTTACTTTTTATGCTTACAGACGTAGTTAAAAACCGCGTGTACGGACCTCCAACCATAGTGATGTTGTCCAAAGACGGTTCTGGATTGGGCTTTAGCTTAGAAGGCGGTAAAAATTCACCTATCGGCGACCAGCCACTGACAGTGAAAAAGATATTCACCGGTTAGTATAATATTTCAGCTTAATAGTGTTATGTTAACGTAAGATGATGGTTGTACCGTCCTGATATCGATTTTATGCATTTAGGCGGGTGCGCAGAACAGTGTGGACAGATATTGGCTGGAGACGAGCTGGTGTCTGTGAACGATATAGACGTGACCGGCATGTCGCGTACGGAGGCATGGAATCTAATGAAGAGGCTAGTGAGTGGCACTGTTACTCTCTGCATACGGCACGTGGTTTGAGCACAAGTCATTATTATTTTTATTACGGAGACAGTTAAAAATACAATTTTTTATCATAAAATCATACCTAACTTAAGAAATAAAATGCAACAAAAAACGATTAATAGCAAAATGTGTTATAATTGTCTATAGTCTTTATTACCATATTTGTAAAATACAATTTCTAATAATTACATTTAATAAACAATATAACTAAATTATTGTATAAAAATATCGTTTGTGTATGGTTAATGTTTAATTTAGTTTTTATATGGTTTCATTTTATATATTGTGCCATTGTGATTAGTGTTAAATATATTTTATAATATATTATTATTATTATTATTATCATAGTTATTGTTATTATGTTACCGAAGAAGTTAACAATCTGACATTACTATTATGCACAAGACATAACAATTTAATGATGCTACAAAAACCAAAATGCTTTACTCATTGTACCACCAAAGTAAAAATCTAGGTCGAAAAATATTCAATTAATTGTTATTCCATTTATAATGACTTTTAATTAAAACTTAAGAATTTTCGCACAATTTCAAGCTTAGGAAATTTTTACTGGTATATTTCATACTTCATAATATGTAAAAAATGTTTATTTGAAATATGTATTTAGATACAAAACCGTAAAAAAAAAAAATATAAATCTTATAACACATAATAATCGTTAAATAACATATTAAATTATTTAAAATATTTGAATTTATTAAATTAATGACATCAGATACATTATTTGGGATTAGGCAGACACATATTGCGTACACTTGATTCACTCAATGATAAATATTATATAAGACCAACATATCAATGAGATAAAGCTATTGATACTATCTTATTTATCTCCACGACTAATAGTAATCATAAATTTGTTAGCTTTTATTTTTATATTTAATTTGTAATGATTGAGGTAGCAATTAAATGTCAATAAAAATGTTTTTCAGGTATTCCATTTGTCATTGGGAACCATAACGAATGGAATACCTGGAGGGCTGAAAAATACTAAATAAATTAAAGAGTAAGAGTTGTCAAGATAAAAAAGATTCTATAAAAGCAGGGATACAATATAGGATCCATAGAATGTAACTGTTGAACTGAATAAATAGAATTGGATATATGAAAAGCATACATTTATATAGGATATAATACTTATTATGCACTTTAAACTCAAGAACATGAACATGAACATGCAAAAATATCATAAATACAAAGGACGTGATGACCTGGATTTTTTAGTAATTATTTAATAATTTTTTTTCTTTTATTATGTATATTAATATATTATAATTGGCAAACCTGGCTCAAACGTTTTCTTACACTTAGGCAAACTTAAGTTTTGTCGCCCCTTACATGTAAATATTACATCATATATTATTTTACATAAACAATACTAAAATAGACTTAATTCTGAGTTCATTATATTTATTTAAGTAAAATTAACAATTCATTAGATTAATACATTTGTAAACAAGTAAACTACTACTAATTTAAATAAAACAAAACAGTTTTTTTGAGTCTTATTTTTTACTACACATAATTTTATATGAATAGGTACTAGTAAATGTAATATTTTTTTTTAAAACTATCCATAGTTTAAAAATGTTAAATTCCGCCATAGGCATGGGCCTGTGTTGCCTACCCCTTGAGCTGGGACTGATCATTGGTAGTTTTTTTAGTTAAAACAAATTAAAATAGTTGATATTTTTTTTAAAAAAAAAGCAATAAATAATTAAAAAAAAGTAAATATGAACAAATTGGTTGTAGACATAAAATAATTTACTTTCACTTAGCAGACTATTTATTAAAATATCTGTTAATTTATTCTGAATAATTTTTTGAAGTATTATACAAATATTACCATGGTTATTCATAAATAGTATTTTACAGGGCATCATTCTCATTCATCGGTAATTGGTATAATTGAAATTTTTATAAAATTGTTTATTCGTTAAATAAAATAATATTGTTTAAATATGGTTTGCTTGAAACCTAAATAATAATACTGTACAATAAGAACACAATAATTTATTTAAATTTATAATCAATGATCATTGTACCTTAAACAGTCATAACAGTAACATAAATTAATATATTACATATCATTTTATAAAATATAATATCTACAGATAAACAAATACATTAATAAAATTGTTTATATGATTTTTTAACTATTTTCAGAAATTTTTTGCTCAAAATTTACTTTACTTAAATTATTTTTAGTTACAATAACATTTGACAAAAATTTAGTAATAATACCAGTAGCTACGGTCCTTTCGTTTTCTCGAATAGTAAATGGTTGTCCAATATCCATAATCATTTTATTTAACAGTATGATTTTTACATCACCATGTTCTCCAGGCATTATCATGGGCACTGCTGGATCCAAATCAATTCTAAGGAGGAAGAATAAATATTAATAAAATTATTAAAATAAAGTTAACCAACAAGCAACATACCTGCAAACAATATTCCATGTATGACTAAATAACTGTTGTTGATAGTTAGACATAATTGGTTTTGATCGTCCACCCTCTGAGCGTAAGAGGAAATAAATAGTTGCTTTAAAATGGTTTTTTAGTTTATATGTATTAACTGGACATAATATCATACCCTTACGGAGTGATTTAGGTTTTATGCCTCTCAACAGTATACCAACATTTTCACCTGCTTTGGCGTATGGTACAGATGTTTTGAATATTTGAATATCACCAATAGATGTAGTTATTTTTTCATCAAATCCTAGCAAATCAATTTTATCATTTTTTTTTACCGTTCCTTTTTTTATGGTGCCAATGACGACTAACCCTCGACCAGGTACAAGTAAAAAATTATCAATGGGTAAGAAAAACGGAGACGTAAAGTCTCGTTCTGGGGTTGGTATATAGGAATCGACAGCATCCAAAAGCTTCCGTACAGATTGTTCTCCGAATTCAGATGTATTGCCTTTCAGTGCGAGAAGAGCAGAACCTACAATGCATGGAATTTCATGACCATTAAAACCAAAGTCGGTAAGCAATTCTCGTATCTCAAGCTCAACTAGTTCAATAACTTCATTATCGATGATGTCGGCTTTATTAATGTACACTACAACATGTTTAACACCAACCTGAAACAAATGGAAGGAAAACATTTGTACATAAAATAAACAGACGAAACGAACTTCAACCATACCTGTTTAATCAATAACAAGTGTTCACGCGTTTGGGGCATCGAACCGTCCGTAGCGGCAACCACTAAAATAGCACCGTCCATTTGAGACGCTCCAACAATCATGTTCTTGACAAAGTCCGCATGGCCAGGACAGTCAACGTGGGCATACTTGCGTTTGACAGTTTCATAGCCAACGTGTGCTATGTTAATGGTAATACCTCTAGCCTTTTCTTCGGGCGCCTTGTCGATCTGGTCGTAGGCAACGAACTGTGATAAGCCGTCCTTCTCGAGCACCTTGGTGATGGCCGCCGTCAGTGTAGTCTTGCCATGGTCCACGTGACCGATCGTACCTGTTTCGCACGGCAACGTATAACATTATGGCAAATTTACGTTTAATGATCACATAGGGTTGCACAGAGCATAAAACGGGTGCAGTGTCAGTGCTTGTCCGACCTACCGATGTTGCACGCCGGTTTGGCCGCACCGCTGTACGGTCGTAACGTTGCGGTCCGGTTGACCTTCAGGAAACGGCCGTAGAGGAATATCGTCTTGCACCACGTCGTGTTCAACGAGCACAACGATTTCACAATCATCTTGACGCCTAACTCGCGATGGAAAACGTTTCCGGCGTTCGACGCACCGGGAAACGCTTACGATAACGTTGTTGATATCCGCACCGTTATCAGGTGGAAATCATGATAGCACTGATGATAACGGCATCCACTGCACATAGTTCCGTCCGCACTATATAAAATAAGCATAGTGTACATTGTTAGAGAATCTACTGAAAATACTGTTCTACGATTGGTTCCACAGATATATGTATATATATATAAATATCTGTGATTAGCTCTAATCCCAATGAGATAATGACTTTGCTATCAATTATCTGTTATCAGTTATCAAATTAAATAATACAATTATGATTTTCTCGATAGTTTAAATACAGAAAAGAGCGTCTTACAAGGTTGTTATTATGTTTAGGTTTATTAATTTAGTAATATATGGCAAATTACACATGATACATGTCTGAGAAAATTTAATATTGATAATACTGTAATTATTAAAGGTTCGGTATAAAATTTTTTTTTCTGTACAAAATATTATTATTAACAGTCTTATTTTATACGAGAACCACTTATTTCATTAGAAGTGATCACACTCAACATCAGTTTTTATATATAATACATATGCCGGCATATTTTTTTTCTGCTATTTTGTGTCATTTATATTTTTACCATACATGATGACTTGATTATATTTCTTTAAAACATGGAGCCTGCATTAATCAGAATCTTATATATATATATATATATATATATATATAATCGTACACAACCCCATCGATTGTGTATTATTTTTTTTTGTTTTCTATACACATAGATCCTACCGACTGCTCCAAATTATGTTGCGTGCGGGCAATCGTAAAGATGAAAATGTGATAGGATAATTCCAATAAAAATACTCAAACTAAATTAAACTGTTTATTGAGATATTTCTAAGTACACATTATTTAATTAAATTAACAAATAAACTGACGTGGAGGTGCTTGCTAAAAACACGTCTTAAACACATCTAAATAATAGTCTGTTCGAGACTACCTTATATACTCCGTTCTTATGGGATATTTGACCCGGACATAGTTTGATATTAATATTAATATTCTAGACCCCCTTCGAAAAGTATCTACCATCCAATTTTATAATACCTTTTAAGGGCATGTTTTTTATATTGTTTCGGTCAATGCAAACGATGCCAATTGTATTACCTTGTAAAGGCACGTCCTGATATTGTTTCGGTTTTTGCAACAATGCCAGTTATTTGTATGTGACTCTGTAAGATTTGGATATTCACAAGGGCATATATTATTTATGTCCACCACGTAGATATCATGGTGTTTCACATACAGTGTAATTTGTATTTGCGTATGTAATAATGTATATTATAATATAACCCCCATGTATTGGAAGTCGTAAGGACCTACATTTATGTATGTCCGTAACAACACAAATAATAATTACAGTAGAAGCCGCTTATGAGAAACACTTTTAGACCAAGGTGAAATGTGTCAATTAACTGATTGTTTCTAATAAATGATTGATTTTATTTATTATGAAAAAAATGTATAATTCGAAAAAATTATCTACTGTGAAAAAAAAAGGTATCTGCTAAGTAAAATATTCCTTTACCGTTGTTTGCGTCGAGTAACTTGATGATCATGATTTCGTAAGAGTAATGTTGCCCAAAGTTTTTTTCATCCGCACGGTGCAGGACTGCTCTCCTGAAGACACTTCGAGTTTCTACAATTTCTTTACTTCATTGGGGATGCCTCGCTTTATTCTTCTTCATCGACAGTGATAGCACGTTAAATTGTTTGAGGATCCGTAACCACATTGAAGACCTCTTCTTCTGTCAGAGCCTCTACAACATCGAGGTCACACCGATCCAATCTTCGTACACTTCTTCCGAGAGTTCGACTGGTTTCGATCGTAACGACATAAGATAAAGTACATTGTAATTACAATACATTGGTTACAGTCATATAACTGGAATTTTTCGACGACCTTGGCCCTTATTATTTCAAATAACCAATGTGTTGTTTCAATAATCCTATTGAATTATAATATTTTAATATACGATCCGATCCGTCCCTAGACATTTCGTTTCAATAACGCGATTGTATCAATTATTCTTTTTCCCAATAAGCGGTTTCTACTGTATAAGAACTGTATACTGCATATACAACTACATATACACTATATAACTATATACACCATTTTAACTAACGTTGCATAATTTCATTTCGTGTACATGTCGTAAGTAATTCGTTACGTGAGAGTGGTATTATTGTCAATTTGATTAAATAAACATCGAGTCAACAAATGTTTAATATGTCATAAGTACCATACACACGGACCGATCATTCTTTTTTATTATTATTGTAAATTTGTGCATGTATAAAAAATGTATAGGTTAGATAACGACCGTAATGTCTAACGTAGGTCATAGCATCTTGTGTTCTTTCGTGCATGTACCTTGGCCCACCAGTATAAGTTGATGGGAGTATAACCATTTAGCCTAACTGATTAGCTTCTATGTCTCGTCGTCCAATCGCATCTTTTAAATGAATACAACTATCTGCACGCAATTTGGCTTGGTTGTTTTCTTCCCTAACAGTACGCTTGCTCCGTCGCTTACAAAACACATCCAATTTTGCTGAAGATAAGAATCTTGAAAGCTAAAAGCAAAAGGACAATTTAAAAGTTGGTTAACAATGTTTTCAGAAGTTTTTTTATCCAATTCCACTAAATTCAAAAAAATAAATTTCTTGAGAAATCGACGCTTTAATGAATATAGTCATACATGATTTTGAGCTAATTGTTGTTGATTCATCCATTAAAACAGAAATTTTAAACTCAGAATCGTATATAATTTTTACAACAATTTCTCTCATTTTGCATGCAATTTGACTTACAATAGATGTACACGAATACCTAGAATGCAAAATTGAACCTAAGTGCACACCGTTGCATTTTTGCAGTTCTACAAGCTTTGAATGGTCGTCAAAAGGCCTATTATACTTTGCTATATAGTATGCAGTAAGAAAAACGCATTCGTTTGAATCTTCGTTTCTATAAAGTTGATCTTCAAAGCTCTTGGTTATCATTTCTGACTCTTAGTCTTTTTTAATACTACAGGCAAAAGTATGATCACTAGATTCACCATGTCTCTATAATCTTATAATCTTAATATTATTTTGAAGACTGGCTAATCGTGTTTTCTTATTTGGATGATTACCAATATCAACCAAACAAGACATCCATTCTTTTGAAAGTTCTACACCTTGTTTTTTATAAGTTTTCAAATAACCAACTTCTTGACAAAAAATACAACCTAACTTTTCTCTCGAACAAATTAACCAGGCATGTTTTGCTTTTCTTTCAAGCCATTGCTCAAGTGACCAAACAGAAGGCCATTGTACTTGTTTTTAAAATTATAAATGAAATTATTATATGTGGCGTATTGGCGTTATCAATAGAAATAATATTCTGATTTTAGAGTTCAGTAGTTTATTTTTGTTCACTATCATTGCATTTCTCTCATCATCATTTGTGTCCGAATATTTTAATTAATTTAAGATGGGAAAAGAAAAATTATCTACGTAAGTCAAATGACAAAAACTAAAAGCACAAAAGTAAGTGCCCACGAAGACGGGTAAAAGCAGACAAACGCTGCCGTCGTTCGCGACGGTCGTCACAACGTTCGCGAAAGCTTCGGGGCTCATCGCCGACCCCGAAAACTAGTTCGATTAATCTATCGGACGTCCCGATTGATAATTGAACGAATGTTGACACCCTGGCAAAGGGGTGTAACGGGTGAGATCGTAGTACACATGCGACACGACAGTGTCAATTATAATTTACCTACTATAAATATTATTTTCTACTACTATTTTATTACTATTTATCTACCATTTTATTTACTACTAATTTTTTTATAGCATGGGTAAATTTACCTAAATTATAACGCTAATAACGCTAATAACGCTAAGTTAACTATAAGTTCATTTTTTAAGTTAATTGATGT